ATTTGTTCTTTTCACCTGGGGGAAAAAGGCTTTTAGAAAGTCTCTGTAGGGGGCCTCCCGAGTGGTGCAGCGGTTGAGCGCTAGGTTGCAAAGCTGCCCCGCAGCCTCTGCGGCACTGGTTCGATCTCCGGAAGGTCCCGCATGGCGCGCAGACCTCTCCTGCCTGCTCTGCTCCCCACTCTGGCTCTGGTGAATTCTCTCACTCTCCTGCGCTTCTGACTGTACCCAGTGCTTGTATAAATAAATAAATAAATCTTTAAAAAAAAAGATTTTATTAAAAAAAGTCTCTATAGGACTCAGAAGTCCATTTCATTTAGAGATAGTGCAAAGAATGTTGTTCCATCCAAATATTATTCAAATGAACCTAATGCTGTATCCTAGAGACGAATGAAAAATACTGGATCTCATTAATAACCCCGCCCAGCCACACTTTTGACATGCATTTAAAAGATCTTCACATGCCGTACAGGAAATTTTACACTGAAAACTGTACCACATATTTCTAAATACATCTTTATTTCATATTTTAGCCATTGAGGGTCGCATGGGATGCAAAACTAGAAAAACGGGGAAATCTAGTGAAAGGAAGAGTGAGACATGTAGAAAAAGAAGTTAAGGTAGTTGCTTCCTTGACCCAATCTACATTGGGACTGTAAACCTTAGAGATGCAGCACTTCCCATCACAAAACCCCTTAAATGATGTTTTATATTCATCAGTGTTCCTAAGCTTTTGCCCTTGTTTCCCTTAAGCTCCAAGAAGCTGTAACTGCAGTGAAGTAGTAACAGCCGCCCATCAGAAGAAAATTTATTTTCTATTAGAAATAACAATGTTGCTAGACTATAAAGCAAACCATAGACCTAACTTTCCTGGTGTTATGAAATAAACATGCCAGTAATATTTTTATTCTAATGGTGACCATTTAATGTTAGGTGTTTGCTAAGTGTTTTCTCTGCATTCCTCATTTAATTGTTACAAAAATGTAAAGGGGGGGAGTTAAGCATTAAAAACTGTTAATAGAACTCTCTTAATGTTTTTTTTTTTCCGTAACTCACACGAAACTAGAAAAATAGGTCTTTGAATTGAATACACAAACTCTGAGGTTAATTTCCTTTGGTAACAAAATAGATTCGATGATATTTTAATAGCTTTTTAATGGAATTTAAAATTACCATTACCTTTTTAGCTAATACGAAGTCATTGGAATTAGTATCCTTTAAACATTTTTTTTGTTTCTGCAAGACCCAGGCAAAATTATGTTTTCAAAGTTTAATGTGAAGCAAAGAAACTAATGTAGTTTCATTTTAATTTAATCATCTTACAGAAGCTCACTTCCACAGTTTTGACTTTATCCATGAATAATAATCTTACCGTCAGTGTAATTAATATTTTTACTTCCATTTTCAAAATACTCTAGTTCTAGTATTGAGTTTCTCTTTGCTCCATAGAGTCCAAAGATTGATATATACTAATTCAATCTCATTAATTATTAATCACTCCTGTTATAGCTTTACCTGCCAAAGATACTCCCTCGCTATAGTGCTGTTTTTGTCAGTTGTTTTCTTGCTATTCCTCAGATAAAGAGCAGGACTAGCTTAAACATTTTTAAAATGTAAATGGACATCTTTTTCCCACTTACTTTTTTTGCTTTGAATTCTACTTTGTTATGCATTAGTATTACTCTTTTTTGTTTTTTAGATAAAGGTACCTGATACTTTTGGCTATTATATATTTTCTACGCTTTCTCATTTCAGTTTGTTTTTAAGTGTCACTCAATAGCAGCATCCAGTAGGACTTTTGCTTTTTCTTTTTAAGAAAATCCAAAATTCAGTCTTTAAAATTGCTAGTTAATTCTGTTTGTATTTATTGTCCTAACTGATCAGTTTATAATTTCTGCTTTTTAGGCTTTGGATTGACTGAAACTTTCATTTAGCTTTTTTTTTTTTTTTTTTAATAGCTGTAGGAATTTATCCTCTTGGCTTCTTTTTCTTCCATCAGTTGAACTGTATTCATTTTTTTAGGCTTACTAGAACTTAAATTTTATCAGAAAAAAATGTTTTCAGTCTAAATTTTGCTATGTTAACAAACAGTAGCCTTTGGTTTTAGCTTTTCAAAACACAAAAGGGTACTATGTGCTCATTTTCATAAAATACACTGAAATTCATAGGTGAGAGGATATAATTGGTTTTAATTTATTTAATACCTTTATTTTAGAAAAACGATCTTGATGAATATGTGGCATTTCAGTAGATCGAGTAGTGTGGAAATAAGGTAACCAAGTCAAAGAAAAGAAACAATGGAAGTTTCCGGGAAGTGACAAAGCCCTGGTGTGTGGTGAGCCATGTATATATGAAAGTAAAAAGGCCAGAATGGTAAATTGGAGTTGAAGATGAGTGTCAGCATGAGGATTTTGTATTCAACAAAAGGAAGCCGTTGAAATTTTTTGAATGAGGAAGTAGTGTGATCAGTTTACATTTGTTGAATTGTTGAAGATGAGCAATTGGATAGAATTTTTATCAGATAAAAACTAATAATAGTGGTTGGCATTTATTGAGTGCTTACTATATGCCAGACACCTTATGTTGCTTCAGTGACGCCTCACAACAATGCTGTGTGGTAGGTGACTTTCCAAATCACCATTTGCTGGGTTTCCATTTAGCTGATGAGTATTCTATACACTCTAATATTAAATCATTTTTCCAGGCATTCTCCACATACACGTGTGTGCATAAACCTACTCTCTCCAAACACAGCTATCTTATTGTATACTCTTACTTCTTAACTTAGCTGTCATTACCAGTTAGCAGTCACAGCTTGTTGTTTAAAATCTGCGTAAAATACCGAGCATCCCTTCCATTGGGGCTCCTCTGTATTTTGGCCTCAACTAAGCGGCACGTGTTTATTTGCAGGTTTGCTTTCCCAAAAAGGCAGCAGATTTTTGAGTCAGTCAGGCTTGTTTTACCCCAAACAAGTAGCACAGTGCCTAAATTCTGGTAGGTTCAGTAATTATTGAATTAAATCTATTTGTAGATCATGTCTTTTTCTAAGACAAAGAGTCTTTCCCTTTTTAAATCCGTGCCTACTTTTGTTAGTAAAACAACTCAAAGTGATATTTTTAAAAAGTATTTTAACTATGAAAATGTATATATCTTTTCTTTTTTAATATTTGGTAAAATTTACAGCATAGTCATCTGGGAGTTCCTTGGAGGAAGGTAATCAACAGTAAAGTCTGATATTCACTCTTTGTAGCTTCACTCTTTAATTTCCAGCCGAAGATGAATCAATGCTAATTGATACCGAAGAACCAGCTTTTGGTTTCTGTTATTTTGTTTTTCAATTCATTGATTCCTATTTGATGTTTCATCTTTCCTACTGCTCACTTTGGATTTAATTTGCTGTTGTTTTTTTTTTTAAAGATTTATCTATTTATTTATACATGCACTGGGTACAGTCAGAAGTGCAGGAGGGTGAGAGAATTCACCACAGTCAGAGCGGGGAGCAGAACAGGCAGACCGACAAAATACACTGCTGAGGGGAGCAGGGGGCGGCAGGAGAGGTCTGCGCACCATGTGGGCCCCTCGCTGGCAGCTGGGGATCGGAGGCTGCAGAGGCTGTGGGCAGTGCTCAACCGCCATGCCACCGGGGAGGCCCAATTTGTTGTTTTAGAGTTAGGAAAACTCAGAGGGGCATGTGGCTTCCCCCAAGATCTAGTGGTGACGAGCTCATGCTCTTAACACCTCCATCGTACTGCAGGAGGACATACCAGAAGACATATCAAGTCTGCTGTCAAGGCATTGGAAAGTGAATCCCCAACGTTGCGTGGGCATTGTATATTAAATGAACTGACTCCTGTGAGTTTTAAGGAAGAGTGAGCTCACCATAACCTATGAAAATTTCATAGACAAGTGATCTTTTTGGTTGGGACTTCAATTTAGAGTGCATTTGAAAGAACAGCGTGTAATGACTATGAAATGATAGGGTTCTGAACATCTTTATTCAGGATATGGCTTGGTGGTTGACCAAACCAAACTAAATGAATTACAGTAAATGAGAAAACTGCTTTCAGACAATTTTTGCCACTCTGTAAATATGAACTTTCTTTACAAGAGAATTAGAGGCAAGATGGTGATACAGAAAATGAGTTTAGATTTCTAACCTTACTAAATCATTTCAAAATTAACCTCTTTTCACATTATACTTTTGGTAAATTAAATGGAGGTGTTCTCCATTTAGGATGATTTAAAGATTATAGATACTGCATTCAGCACAAAGCCAAATCTGTAGATGATCAGTAGTTGTGTTATTGTTAGAATCTGTTAAGCCTCAATGCATGCAAGTTATTGTGAGGCCTTAAGTTCATTTTATGACATTACTTACCCTAACCATCATCAAGATTGTCATTTTCTTATAAATACTTGTATAATACTGCATTCCTTTCTTCATAGCAGTTGTATTTTGTAATTACCTGCTAAATCATGTAATTATTTGATTACTATCTGTCTCAATCTAAATAGTTGCCTTCATGCTCTCAGAAAGCCCTGTCTGATTTTGCTAACATTGTCCCAAGTGCACAATGCCTGCCATACAATAGTACTTTAAAAAAAGTGTTGAATGAATGAATGAAATGAATTGATAGCAATTACTGATAACTTTGTGGTGTCTTCCTCCATCAGGGTATGATCCTTTTTTTGTAGAATTAAAATATGTATCTCGTGATCTGCAGTAAAATCATTGTTTGAACTCACTGGTATCGTATGGTCACATCTTGACATGTTGATTGAATCCCTTTGGCATAAAAGCACAAAAGTATTTCATTACATCTGGCATTATTGTGCATTGTTTTCAGCTTAACTAATTAGGATTTGAATTATTATCTTACTGTGTGTTAACTATTGTCCAGAATTTCAGATTCTCTTACCACTTTAAAGGGAAGTGAGGCACCTGGCATTTGTATTAATCTACCATCTATATAAATACTGCTTTCATGTGATTACTTTATCAGGGAGAAGATGTCAACCGGACGCTAGAAGGTGGAAGGAAGCCTCTTCACTATGCAGCAGATTGTGGGCAGCTGGAAATCTTGGAATTTCTGCTGCTGAAAGGAGCAGATATTAATGTATGTAAACAACATTTTCATTCGGGGGGGGGGAATCCTGTTTTACACAAAGCATACTTGTTTTCTATAGCTTTATAAAATAGATACTTGCGGGAAATTTTTACTTTTTAAGTAAAAATAGTCTGAAATTACACTAAATTTCCTGTAACTTAAAAATGCATAGCTAGGATTTTTAAAAATAAGCAGAGCAGTCTTTTTAAAGCTAATGAAATTGGACATTCCCGGGCCTCCCCGGTGGCGCAACGGTTGAGCGCTCGGTTGCGAAGCTGTCCACAGCCTCTGCAGCGCTGGTTTGATCCCCCGCTGCTCCCCGGCCACCGGAGGAGGGTCCCACATGGTGGCGCGCAGACCTCTCCTGCCTTGCCCGCTGCTCCCCTCAGCAGTGTACTTTGGTCCTTCTGCCTGCTCTGCTCCCCGCTCTGGCTCTGGTGAATTCTCTCACCCTCCCGCGCTTCTGACTACCCAGTGCTTGTATAAACAAAACAAACAAACAAACAAATAAAACATGCCTCTATTAAAAAAAAAAGAAAGAAAGAAATTGGACATTCCCCCTTGACTATTGCTTTTCAAGTTCTAAAGCAACTTCTGTAGGGAGCAAGTCTCTTCCTGGACTTTGTCATTTCTACAATAGTGGGGCATTGAGACCTACATAGGCTAAATAGTCACACAGTGAAGGTTAGAGTCAAATTATGAGGTGAGAGCAAAGTCGTCGTCCTCCTACTTCAATACATGGACTCTCGGGGAGAAACTGCTTGTGGGCTTAGGCTAACTCCGTTCACTCCGTAAGAGGCTAAAAACTTGAATGAAGAGATGAATGTGTAAGGTGGCTTATCTCTTCGTTTATTATTTCATAGGCTCCAGATAAACATCATATTACCCCTCTTCTGTCTGCTGTCTATGAAGGTCATGTTTCCTGTGTGGAATTGCTTCTGTCAAAGGTAAGGTCATTTGCCAGTGTGTTTCTCATTACTGTATAACTGTTTAAGCTAAATATTTGGTTGTTAAATTTTGTGTGGTATCAGCAACAGGAAATTAGAGGCAGTGTCCCAAATTGAGGTCTAGAACAGTGTGCTGAAAACACCTGGTCCACAAACTGTTTACTACTGGTTCATAACGGGTCATGAGCTTGGCCCAGAATATGAATCACCACTGTTTTCTTCATCACATATCTTGCTATAAGAAAAAAGTTAGCTAAACAAAGCATTGTATTTAGTGGAATAGAAATGTCATTGTGAGCCAGTAAGTTTTCAGACTGGTCATAGGTTTATGGTCCACATTTTAGGACCTCTGGTTTGAAATTTGTAGGCCTCATTTTCTGTAGTAGTAGGTACTGAGCAAGATTATTATTAAAGGTAGTTTGCTGAAAGTAAGGGGTCTTGAAGTCATGTGCTGTCTTGATGTGATTGGTTAATTCCTAAAGCTTATAGCAATCAGTGGCAACCATTCTCTTAGATGAAATATGCAAAGTTGGAAGATAAGAAATCAGCTGTTTCTTATCTTATTTCAGTGAACGTGTAATAAATAACTCATAAATAAGACCGGTTAGAATTGATTAATGCAAGTAATTTTGATGTTTCTCAAAAAAGAGAAGACTTCTGCAATGAGGGTTCTCTAAAAAAGTTTTATGAAAATAACTTTCAGGTATAGACAAAACTTTCATCTAAAACTTACGATGCACCTACCACCTTGTAATACATTAGCTCAATATCTGAATGTCTTTGGAGAGACTTAAAGGTCCATTTATATTTACCCTATCTCCTTTCTGTGGTGAACTTTTCTTTGAAATCTTGAAATGATCTTTGTATTTTTTCTTGCTAAATAAGACTGCCATAAAGCTATTAAAATCATTTCACAAGGGGTAACTTAAAAACAAATTAAGGGCCTCCCCGGTGGCGCAGCGGTTGAGCGCTCAGTTGCGAAGCTGCCCGCAGCCTCTGCAGCGCTGGTTCGATCCCCAGCTGTTCCCCGGCCACCGGAGGAGGGTCCCACATGGAGCGCAGACCTCTCCTGCCGCCCACTGCTCCCCTCAGCAATGTACTTCGGTCCTTCTGCCTGCTCTGCTCCCCACTCTGGCTCTGGTGAATTCTCTCACCCTCCCGCGCTTCTGACTGTACCCAGTGCTTGTAGAAATAAAAATAAATCTTTAAAAAAAAATTAAAAATTATATCCACAACTAAAAATAATCTATAGTCACTATGTTCAAATAAGAAATAAATGTAGCATGTGTCTTCTCATTTATGTGTATAGGTCTTCATTTAAATTTTTCTTAATGTGGATAAGTTGGGGGAGCTACCTGTCTCTTAAGAATTAATTGATTATGGGAATTTTTTTAAGTGAAAGAAAAAATAGCCACACTTAACCCACCAGGTAAATTAAAGTTGTCATCAAATGCTGACATTCTTTTATGTCATTACATTTTCAGTGTGGCAGAGTGGGTACAACAGAAGAGCATGGCATTGAGTTAGGGAAAAAAAGCTTTCAGGCCTGGTCCTGTAACTTAATAGCCAGTAGGTCATTTGACATCTGAACTCAGTGGGATTAATGTATCCACATTTCAGGATTAATAAGAAAACCAAAGAAGATAAGGTCTATCCCTTTGGCTTTAGTATTTACCAGATTGAATTCTATTTTCCTGCTTTCCTTTGTCCCCTTTACATTGTGGAAATATGCAGAGAACCAATCTCTAGTTTTCCTTAGTGATTTTTAAGGCCCTAGTTCCTATAACTTCCTGACCTCTGTGAGTTAAACAATCTCTAAAATAGCACTTGCCTGGGCCTCCCCTAGTGGCGCAGCAGCCTCTGCAGCACCGGTTCGATCCCCGACCACAGGCGAGGGTCCCACATCTCGCGACAGACCTCTCCTGTTGCACCCGCTGCTCCCTTTAGCAGTGTATTTCGTCAGTCTGCCTGTTCCATTCCCTGCTCTGGCTCTGGTGAATTCTCTCACCCTCCCGCGCTTCTTACTGTACCCAATGCTTGTATAAATAAGTAAATAAATAAGTCTTTAAAAAAAAAAAAAAGCACTTGCCTGCTTCACAGGACTGCTGTAAGGATAAAATTATGTATATACACACACACACACACACACAAATATGTATATAGTATGTTAAAAACTCAAAATTGCTACACAATTTTGATAAAATTACACTAACAATAGGTATTTGAATAACATTATTCATTTTTTTTAATGTTACTGTTTTGGGTAGACTCTAAGATTGAATTGTATCGATAAGTTCTATGGTTAGTAATACTTAAATGGTCATTGAAACAGTTGGAAGTTCTCAGGTTCTGAACATTTTATCCTGCTACCATGAAATTGTAAACAGATGCCCCAAATAATGAGCTAATAAGGTTCTTTGAAAAGTTTGACTTTTAAAATGCATGTGAATTCAAATACTCTGCAGTGTTTTCTGATGTAGTGATAAATGGTGATACATATTGTACACAAGGTAGAAGAAAAGGTAGTTTTTCCTTTTAATTTGCATGCGAGTGATCTCTGAGGGATAAAGTTTATGTTACTCAGGTACTGGTCCACACTCTTTCTTACTGATAGATGCGAATTTTTTCACCTATTTGACAAATAAATGGCAAACATATATGAGGCATTATACTAGGTTTTAACGGTAAAGAGATGAAAGTAATGAGGAACCAGCCTTCATGGAACGCAGCCTAATTTTGGGAAAGCTGTGAACATACATGGTAAATGCTATAAAAGTGGGGTTGGCTGTAACGAAAACTCCGGCTACACAAGAAGGTAACCCATAGCCATGTGTCCAAGGCAAAAATTAACAAGTGGGAATACATTAAACTGCAAAAGAAACCATCAACAAAGTGCAAAGATACGTAGGGGATGGAAAAGAATATTTGCAAGTCAGTTAGCTTGAGAAGGGTTGCTATTCAAAATAAAGGACTCATGCAACGCAATAGCTTAAAAATAAGCAGATGACCTGGATAGATGTTCTCCCAAAGAAGGAATATAAAAGGCCAAAGTGTACTTGAAAAAATGCTCCACATCACTAGTCGAGGAAATGCAAATTAAAGCCACAGCGAGACAGCAGCTGCTGGCACGGACATGGAGAAGAGGGGGCCTTGTGCCCTGCTGGTGGGACTGTAAAAACTGGTGCAGTCGCCATGGAAGCAGTAAGGAGGTTCCCCCAATATTAAAACTACCATATAACCCAGCAATTCTGTATCATCAAAGGAAATGAAAACAGTAACTCGAAAAAAAATACCTGCACTCCCATGTTCATAGAGCACTTAAAATAGCCAGGACATGGAGACAACCTGAGTATCCATCCGTGGATGATGGATGAAGAAATCATAGCATACACGGCGCAACATAATTCAGTCATAAAAAGTGAAATCATACTATTTGTAACAACATGGAATTGACCTGGAGGGCATTATGCTAAGTGAGAAAAGTCAGAGAAAGACAAATATTCTATGACTTCTTACATATGAAATCTTTAAAAAAGAGAAAAAAAATAAGAGACTTGTGCTTACCAGAGGCAGAAGGGGGGGGAGCTGGAGGAAGGTGGTCAAAAGATACAAACTCCAGTTATAACTAAAGTGTTAGGGATATATGTATGACATGATGGTCTATAGCTAAAATGGCTGCATGATACACAGGAAAGTTAGAGTAAATCCTGGGAGTTCTCATCAGAAGGAGAATTCTTTTCCTATATACTTTATTGTATCTACATGAAAAAAATGGGTGTTAACTAAACCTGTTGTGGTATTAATTTCACAGTATATGTAAATCAAACCATCATGCTATACGCCTTAAACTTACACAATGATTTATGTCAATTCTTTTTCCATAAAAGTTGAGGTGTGGGGAGGCAAAAGTACATCTTAAGTTAAGCAGACTGAGACGGAACAACTGACTCCACTGTGTCATTAATATCCCATGTTCTCTTCTCCCCCGTTTTCCCCAGTTCTTATGGGAGAGCAGAAACAAAAGCACAGCTTTTCAGCTCTCATTTGGGTGACGCAAAAGGAATAATGAGCTTTCTCTCTTTTGATCTATCAAGATTCAGACTCCAGAAGTGAGCATCCTTCTTGAGTCAAATAAATCTTTTGACAATTGGCAAGGAAAGTACATGGCACCTTAAGTTACAGTGCCAGAATCCCACACTGGAGACAAATGATTCCCCAGAACTAAAATTAGAATGTTATCAAAAAGGGAATGAGCTCTAGCAGCTACAAAGCAACAGATGTTCACTATAATATTTAATGTATCAATGCAGTTTACAATACTAGTCATAAAAAAACAGCAGCCATCAAAATAAGAAATAATGTTTTAGATACAGCGATCCCTGTTATTATCATTTAACCTCTGTCGCAGTACTTTCTACACTGAAATTCTCAATTTAAATTTCTCTCCCACTTGACTGAGTACCATGAAGCAATTAAATTCAATGAGGAAATAACTTTTATAGTCATATCGAGTAGGACTTTAATCATTTAACACTTCCTAGAATGTCATCTCCTTCCTGGCTTACCTAATCAGCTTGTAGTGACTCATCAAAACTGAGCTCGAGCATTACCTCACTCAGGACGACGGCACCTGACACCCCACGTTCCCTCGTCCCTGTGCATGTGCTGGTGCTGGTCTTTCCTCGGGGTCACGTTTATTTTTCTGTCTCCCGCACTAGCCAGGCTGGCGCACACTCTAGTTTTGATTCTTTCTCTCCTTACAGTGTCTCCATATCAAAGGGTTCATAAATGTTTGAATGATTAAATGGGTTTGCCAGAGAGAGGGTATAAAGCAGACGGTGGGGCCTGAGTACATAAAGGTGTAGCATATGGAGTGTTCACAGTGGAAAATTCCACAGCATTAGAACATGGGAGAAAAGACCTGGTAAATTTGACAAGCATAAAAACTCTATAGGACCACTTGATGGCAAGTGTAGACAATCCTGTAGGCCATAAGAGCAAAAAAATGCATGAGATTTGGTAAGGGGAGAAGGGCAGGACCACCAGGGACTATTGGATGGATAAATCTTGGTGGGGGTTGGTGCCAACACAGAAAGCCATCAGACGGTGGGATATTACTGACCCTGGAGTTAAAGAGACTCAGACCAGGTTTGGTTACCAACTCATCCACCATGCACTGGACGCTTGTAGACACTGGGGCCATGGGGTTAGTGGTGCAGATTCCTGCTCCATGGAGCTTTCATTCTAGTATGGGCAGAAGGATAAAAACAAGCATAGAGGTCTTTGTACACATTTTCAAAATAAAAACACCATTTGCAAGTGGAATATTCCAGAACAGCAGTCTTGAGTTGAATCTCTGAGAGCAGACTGGAGACGTGTATGAGGGGGACAGCCTTTCCTCACGCGCGTTCATCATTTACCACTAGGTTTTTGTAAATACGAATATATGTTCTCTAGGAACTCGTCTAAAGTGTGAGTTCTGAGTTTTTAGAAATATGTGTGATACTTATTCACTCTCCAAGAAAAGTATTGCAAAACAGTGAATAATTTTGTCATTTGTAAATACTTTTTTTTTTTTTTAGCTAAAGTGCTTTTCCTCGTTTTATACGATGTTAGGGGTATTACTTTTAAAGTTTAACTAATTGGTTAAATGTATGATACTATAAATAAAAGCCAGTTCACTATGTTACTGGCAAATAGTATTTGTAGCTTTGTATTTAGAGTTTCTACTACCTGAAAAATAATCTGGCCTTTTTGCAGTTGAATCCAGAACCTTGCCAACTGTTTGGGGTTTTTTTCCTTCAAAAGAATGACTCTTACTAATAAAGGAATTTTTAATTCTCCGCATAAACATCAGCCTATGCCAAGAAATCTAGTCTCTCCTTCTCTGTTCTCAGTTGTGGACTCATTTTGTGATACTCTTTCCTCCCTTTTCCAGGGTGCTGATAAGACTGTGAAAGGTCCAGATGGACTAACTGCCTTTGAAGCCACTGACAACCAGGCAATCAAAGCTCTTCTTCAGTGATGGACGGATGGACTGACAGCTCTGCAAGAATGACTCTCCTGTGGCCTCACACTGCTGCCTGTCTGTCTGTCACTCTCTATCTGCCAGCTTCTTTAGCTAAATACTTTCAAAGGGGTGAGGGGGGAGAGAAATTCATAACAATTCAGACTTCCAGGAAAAACAATGTTTTGGAGGAAGGGAAAAACCACGATCAGGATTCCTGGTCAAATCCACCTCTTTTCCCATCAAAAAAATACATATTCAATAGCTTCTACCCAAGGGAGAGCAAAGATAAAATATACCATAACATTTGACTCTTTCAGCTCCCTAGCTCATTTATTAATTAGATTGTGTCAAGGGTCTGATTATACAAAGGCCAACTATACATACTTGGTAGCCCTAACTGTCAGCAGTAGTGGCTGCTGTGATGTCAACTTAGGGTGCTGAGATAACCAATTAGCTCTAGCCTTCTGCCTTAAGACGCACTCTAGGGTATCTCCTGGCATGTGAAAGCGCTGCCTGTGGTTGGTGACCAAATCTTCCCTCAGTGACGTTCAGCTTTACGTGAAAGCTCAGTTAAGGAGGGGGAACACCCCTAAATTGCTGAATGACTAAACTTTGGATTTCTTCTCCCCTTTCACGTGGATTCATGGGTCCTTAGAGAAAACTGACTAGTTTTATTTATAAAATCTTAAATTTTAGAAGTCTAAAAATGAAATCATTCCAGTATGCGTATTTTTTTCTCCTCTAGATTCAGATGTTTATACAATAATTGAAACACTTTCAGACTCCTGCTGGTAGTAAAGGGGAATTTAAAAATAACATCATAGCCATAAGCCTGTTAGTATCATATAAAGACAACATTGTCTTAGTACCTATGGATTTTCTTCTTCAGCTGTTTGAATGGATTGGCCTCCCTTATGTTTGGAGGATCTTTCGAATGCCCTCCCAGACCCATCTTGGATACTGATTACAAACTGCACCAAAGCTATCACTGGGGTGAGATTTACTGTTCAAATATAATCACATCCCTTCAAAAATACACTTGTTACCAGGTTTCCCTGAGTTGTGGATAGGCTTCTGCTAAACATATGCCAACCCACCTGCGTAATATTTTTTTTCTTTTCTAAGTCATACATTCTTTAAAATGTGACACCTTCAGGGCATTTTCTGTGTTCTTAAAAATACAGTGCCCTAAAATGGTGTTATATGACCTGCAGAAAATATTTGGACACGTTGAAATGTTTATCTCCTAAGCAGTATAACTAAGACGTATGCCCTTAAATTTGTTACCTTGCATCTAAAGTTTTTTTTTAAATTTGCCATCCATATTAGCCAACTAAAAATATTAACAGTTTTTCCTTAGCCAAGTCATGCAATAATTGAATGTACCTCAAATTTTTAAAAAGGGGGGGAGGGCAGGGAGGGTTAGGGACTTATATTCAGATTATGGATAATAAAGAATTAGTGGTGATTTTTTTAAGGCAATGTAGCATTCTACAGCAGAGTTAAACTAGTATCAAGAACAGTCAACCTGGCTAATAACAAAACCTACACTGATCTTGCATTGGGGGGGGGGGTGTGTGTGGGGTGTGTGTGTGGGAATGTATGTTCTTTGCCCCATGAACTTTTTTTTATCCTGTGGCTTTTTCACTTACAACTAGCTTAAACTTGTGATTTTCCTATGTCCAAAAAATCAATCAAAATGGTGGTTTTAGTGCTCTGATATATTTGGCTAATTCTGCTGTCTTAATGCAACTTGTTAGAGTAAGTCAGTAATCGTACTTGACTGCACCGCTAACTGAAGCGTGGAGCCAGCCTCATGGAGGACGGAGGGCACTCTGTCAGTCTGTAGCTGTCAGCTGTTTTGACATCTGGTTTCACACCTCTTGACATAGTACTATTTAAAAGACTTGGATCTTAATCCCTCTACATAGATGTTTTACCTTTCTTTCGGTGTGTGTCGTAGTTGGCTGTTGCAGAGAGTGCATTGTCCTGTCATTCCTAAACCTGGTCTGCTTTCTACAGTTGCTGGTCTAGAACCAGTGATTCTTTGTACACTTTATCCTGATGTTCCTTGTAATGCAGTAGAGGCTACTTTGCTGTCCCTCTTCTTTCTTGGCCATTTTGTAAAGCCCATCATTATGAAGCAGTTGCTTAAGAAAGTTAACATATAAACATAGAATAGACTGACCAAGATGGTTTACAATTTTTTTTTTTAAGTAGGTTATTTATATTGTATTTCTGAACCACTTGGTGTACAAATTCACGACACTTAACGGTCATATTTTGAGTAAAGGAAGCTAAAATCATGTCTGCTTTTTGGTACTACATGCATAGTGAAAATTAAGTTTTGTTTCCACTGAAGTTGTTATTTTACATCTAGAAAGAAATTTTGCATGTTCTGTAGTTTTATATTAAGTCAGTTCATATGCACTATATCAAGTAAAAACAGGTGATCTACGTTTTTACTTTAGTGTGCTAAAAAGTTCCCCCTTACAGCTTCAAACTGGTATCTATAGACTTAGAGTTGAACTACAGCACCTGAGTATACCCATGTAGTTCCACGCACTGCTCACCTTCTAGACCCAGTGGGGCACCACAGTGGTAGGCGGCTGCAGTGTGGAAGCTGCAAGTGGGCCCTTTATTCATCGGTTTCTTGCTCCAAATAGTGAATTTTAAATCTATGTAGGTATTTGATTTTTCTTTCCTAAAACGTCAATGGAGCTGCTGTTTTCTTCCATGCAATATTGTATACTCGATTGTGTGTAGAAGAAGCTGGTGAGAGTGCCCTCCTACATAAGCAATTGCAGTGTTTTGCATGCAAAATTTTAAAAATTTTAATTGTCCTGATTCTATTTTGTAAATGGAGAAACAATCATCTTTCTAAGCAGTATGGAGGAAGACAAGTGCTTTGTGCATTTTGATATATTTGAGTTCATTTTTTCCACAATGTAATAAAATACTTTTGACACTGTTGGGTTTCTCATATTATCCTAGTTCATGTACATCTGAATGCTCAATTCTGTGTTTAGGTTTTGTGTTGCAAGAACAAATGGAATAAACTTGAATTGTGCTACAGCTAAAGTGTCAGCATTTCTCTCACTGGTTACTTTCACCTTTCATTTCCGGAATTCTCTACAAATGTACCAATACTTTGACTCAAACTTTTAATTATCTTAAGTTTTACCCCCTGCATCCTCGCCTAAAGAAAGATACGTGGTGAGAAAGTAAGACCCATGAAAATTTGAGTTCAAATAGATTATACTACTTGGAATTTTTTTGTATCAATTTCCTGATATAAATTATTTTACTGTAAGTATTTACGTACCCTCCTAGCTTAGTTGGAGCAGTGGGTAGCACATCTGTGCCAGCCCCAGCATTGCTGGGGCGTGGTAGAATCCCCTTGATTCTGTACGGATTTTAAGTTGCTGCATGTCGCTGTGAGTGCCTATGCTGGTTCTCAGTGTGCTAATTGATAACTAAGGTTTTACTAACCATCTGGAAAGGTGTATTTGTGTGTTCTCCAAATACATGCACATCCCCTGTGGGCAGGCCACTAAGTCCAGTTATTAGGTTTGAAAGTATTCAGATCTAAGTTAATTTATGTTAATTTCCCAACTAAATAGCATGGTTTTGCAAAAAAAATTAAGGTTTACTGGATGTACTAGGAGTTAAACATTGTGCTGAAAACTTTACCATGTTACCTTATTTAACAATGTTAAAAGGAGACACAGTAAGAGGTTAACTTGTCCACAGCCAGCAAATAGATCATGGACAGTTAAATTTAGTTACATCTGATTTTTTCAAATTTTCACTCAGATATCCAAAACCAGTGCTCATACGAGCATCCTTGCATAGCATGCTGCTTTAATCAACAGGAGACTGGGACCCCAGGGATTTTTTTTTTTTTTTAAACAGATCTCCAGAAGTTCGTTATTTTGCATAACTGGAACTTTGTAACCTCTAACAAACTCCCCTAGCTCTTGGCAACTACCCACTTTGTTCTCTGCCTTTGTTGATTATTTCAGATCCTACCTGTAGATGAGCTTGCTCATGATTTGCCCTTGACTTAATGTGATGCCGTCAAGGTCCATTGTGTACATGTCACAAACAGCAGGATTTCCTCTTTCAAGACTGAATAATACTCCATCATATGTATGTACCACATTTTCTTCATCATTTGCATATAGATGGACACTCCAGCTGTTTCCACATCAGAGCTATTGTGAATTGATGCTGCCATGAATATGGCAGTGCAGCTGTCTCTTTGAAATCTAGATTGTAATTTCTTTGGCTGTATACCCAAAAATGGGATTTGAAAGATCAAATGGTAATGCTATTTTTAATATTTTGAGGAACCTCCACACTGCTTTCCATAGTGACTACACCGCCGATTTACATCCCAGCCAACAAAGTACCTGTTGCTTTTTAATATGTATGTAATACTCAGTCTAACAGATACCAGGCGATAGCTCGTGTGGTTTGGATTTGCATTTTTCCGGTTAGTGGCATGGAGAACATTTCCATATGCCTGTTGGTCATTTGTATGTTGTCATCGGAGAAATGTTGATTCAGTTCCTTTGACCATTTTTTAATCAAATTTTTTGGTTTTCTCTTTGTTCATTTTATTGTTGAATTACAGGAGTTCCTTATATATTTTGGCTACCAACCCCTTCAAGAAGTATGTTAAGAGGTCAGAAAGAGAGACATGACTTAGCAAATAAAGGAGCCGAGATACTACAAGCCCAGAGAATCCAACTACAAAAGACTTGGGCTATTTCAACACATGGTGAATGTAACCAGGTGTCAGGTGTTTGAGTCAGTCGGGTCTCTACATTGTGACCTCCTTCATTAAAAAATAGAGCATCCAAAGATGTGGCAGGCACTGCAGATGTAACTGTAAATGCTACTCACTGACTCCTGCCCAAATTAGGTTTACATCCTAAGGAGGAGAGAAAACAACAGTCTCCTCCTAACTAAAATCCTGGAAAGCCAGCCAGGTAAAGGGGTGCTCCACTCAGATTTGTGCCTCTGCCGTGTTTGTGCGTTTGAATGAACATTTCGGCCTCAGCTCTATGTGGTAGACGTCCACATTTCAGTTTACCACAGCCGCAGGTCCCCACTCTGGGTTCTGCTCCAGAGGTCTCGAACTAGATCGCCCAAGTGGGGCCA